ATTTAAACGTCAAAAATATTTCTGACAAAGATTGCAAAGCCTACTAAGATTTTTTCATTCAAAATTCATTCCAACTTTCGATTAACAACCCTACAGCTTAACAGTTAGTGTTTGCTTAATTTTTTTTTTCTCAGAAATTATTAATTTTTAGAAGAACATCAGAGAGACAAAAAAGTTTTAGAATAGTTTTATCTAACTGAATTTTTTCTAATGTATTTATCATCTTCATAAAAAAAATCTAGGCACAAATTGAACGGGGGTGGTTAGGTTTAGTAATTTAGAAGTATTATTATTTACTTATTCTCCAAATTTCATTTTCCTGGTGTTTATAATTCTCAAGAAAAAAAAATTAAACCAAAAGATGGTTCATATGTTAAAGTACCCTTAAAATTCACTAAAGAATCACCCCTTGAAGTTTGTTGCAGTCATTCAGATCCACCCTGTATTAATAAATAGCAAGGAAGAAGTTTTTGTCATTTTATTAATACTTAATTAACTTGAAACATTGATACAAATATTTATTTGTTAAAGTTACCTTTACGAGTGATACGGTGTAACATAGGTGGCTGGAAATAATCCTTTGCGGTGTCGAATCTCCCCATGCCACCAATGTTGATCCGAACGGTCAGTTACAGTTATAACGTCACCTTTTTTAAAGTCCAATTCGCCTTGTTCTTGCGGTGTGAAATCGTATAAAGCTTGCACTAAATACTATTACAAAAAAAAAGAGTTTTTTGAGGTTAGTTTGAATGAAAAAAGACACTTACATCTTCAGAAACGACCATATCCCTCAATTTAACATCTTGCGATCTAGAAACACTTGCGGTTCTGTGATACCCAACTAATTCGTTGAGCGAATTAAACTTGACCACCCACAAAAAGAATTTGCCTTGAGCGTCTCGTAAAACTTTAAAATGTTGAACACCATCGGAACATTTAACAGAAAGTGAAAAATCCCCCGGAGAACTTTCACTGACCCTAATCAAAAAAGCACCCTCGTGTTTCGTTGAGAGCAATCGTTCCGCGTCCGCTCTGGTTATTTTCCCATAATACCATCCGTGATCTTTCAACTCAATATAATTTGAGGGAATTAAACCTTCTTTACCATCTAATTCGGCACGATACCAATTCATATCATCTTCCATGTTTAAAACCTCAAAGTAAATAAATAAATATTTTCACATCAACCCAAGATCAACGAATCATTTATTAAAACTTACTTTAAGGACTTGAAAGCGTTTAAAGCTTAATTCATCGTCGGCGGTCGCGTTAAAGTCGTGTTTAGCGACAGCCTCCATAGTTTATGCGAGTGATTCTCTTCTCGTCCCTTTTGGTTAATATTGGTAATAGTAGACTTTGATCGGAATTTTCGACGCGAATCGGTTAAAATCCGTTTCGGAGGCTCGTTACATCACTGAATCAATTCGAAAACGGGGTTTTAATGTCGAAAATCGCCCGTAAAAAGGTTCAAAAGTAAAAAATGTGTATAACCGAAACTCGCTATTGTTAACCGAGCACCGAGATGTCGTTGTTGTTGGGAGATTTCTCGACGAAGGTGTAGGAATTTTTCAATCCGACTTCTTTTTTTGGAGGGGTCCTAAAATCAAAATAAATCGATTTCGGGGATTCGATGCGATTAAAAAGTGTTTTAAAACTTATTTTTTATTGATTTCATTTGCTTTTTTAATTAAATTTGTTTCAATTTACTTAGAAAGTCGTTTTTTGTTACGGTACTACTTAACGATAGGTTAAATTGTCAGTGAAACGTCAAATTGACGTACGTATACGGGTTTGGGGTAAATTTTAGACAAACTTTATGTGAATTTTATGATGGAAAGATGTGGTTTTTATGGTGATATTTTTTTATCAATCGTTTAAGGAATTTGTTACGAAACCAATGTTTATTAGGAATTTGGGAAAAAATCGTTTATGAATTAATCATTTGTAATGTTGATTTTAGGTCAAGTGACCTAAATGGTAGGTAAACTTATTTGTACAACAAATTGGATTTGTTTAAAAGTTAAATTGACAAATATTAAATTTATTCCTTAATTCCCAAAAAAAAAAAAAATTAAATCGAGATGTCAAAAAATTTGACAGTTTTTTTAGGTTAAGTTCAGTTTAGGAATTTTTTAATCTTTAGATTAATTTTTGATTCTTTACACTTCCTACATAAGAATTCTTTTTTTAGTTTACTACAATTCATTTAAATTTATTTAGTTTTTTATTTATTAAAATGTGTCAAATTGACAGTTGTCATTTTAGAAATGTTAATACAGTGACGGACAAAAGTCTACGTACAGCATTGAATTATGAAGTTTTTGTAAAACATAATAAGACAATAGAAAATTAGTATTACAGTGTGATTAGAGATACTTATTCACCAAAAAAGAACAAAAAACATACCACTCAATACCTACATAACAAAAATTCAACAAACGATGCAAAAACTTGAGGAAAATTTGAGATGTTGCTAGTCGCTTAGACACAATCTTTTTACTTCCAATAATAGGATCGATTAATTAAAACAAGATTATTAAACCGATCCTATTCTTGGAAATAAAAAGACTACAACTGTTATTCCTTGCGAGATCAACTATAATTATTCTCCGTTATCTTTAACTTTCCTCAACCTCATTTATGACATCCCCTGAGATTATCCTTATCTTTTCTTAGCATTCCCTGACTTCTTTTAACATCGTCCGTCTGCTTCTAACTTTTTTCCATTAACATTTTTACTGCATCTCCTTATATCGTTATCAACTTTTTTCAACATCTCAATACATCCCAACATCTTTGTTAGTCTTCCTCAATATCGTTCCTTCTATCATTGTTCCTAACATCTTTTTCAATATCAACCTCAATCTTTCTTAACATAATTTGAATTTACTCCTTCAAATCATCTCTAGTTTCCATCAACATCGTCATTTTCGCAACATTCTCGACTTCCATTACAGACTTTGAAGACGTCGGCCGAGACGATCTCTTATATTAAAAGAAACAACCTCGGCCGCCATAAGTATTGTTTGTGATTCTTGGGTACTTGGTGTCAACATCGTATTATCTCTTTCATCATCGGCTATAACATCTTTTTTCAATATAATTTTTAGATTATCTCAACATCGTTCCTGAGCAAGATCGTCGTTTATGACATCTCTCAATATTGTCTCCTATAGGCCCGTTACTACCAAACCAATGCTATCTGTCAGTTAAGCTATCTATAAGATACAATTTATCTCGTAGATAACAGGGTTGTGCGTACTACCATCTCCATTTATCTCATAGTTAAGAAATCCTTGAGATAACCAACGATTTTTTGATCTATTATGTTAAATTGACAACTCTATGTAGTTAAAAAACCTACTATTAGGTATTTTGACGATATTCTAACCTGTATTAACCTTAAAATTAAAATTAGGAAATGGAGACTGAGAAAAATCTTCTTGAATTTGTTATCAAACATAAAAACGTAATAGAAAACAAAAAAAGTGATGCAGTTACATGGCAAGGAAAGCAACAAGTATGTATATCTCGTATTAGTCAAATCATTGTATGTTTAAATGTGATGGTAAACAATAATGGCACAACTAACAGGATAAACGACTGAAGATGCCAATTGTACACTCATTCCTGCAAAATCTGCTATGGATAGCAACATGTTACCTATTGCATAAAACCGAAGAGTCAGCAACAAACGGTTTGAAGGAGGTACAGTCGTGTTCATTGGAAATGCGCACTCAAGGTCAAGCACTGTTGTGAGACCCTACATGCCTCTGGCTAAACGGGCTGAGTCGAGCTTACACGAAGCTCGTGGAGAAGGGACTTGTGGCGGTCCTGCTTAGCCAGCGGCATGTCGGATCTCACAACAGCGCTTGATCTTGAGTGCGCATTTCCCTTGAACGCGACTGTACAGCATTATTACTAAAATTTTGATAAATTTTACTTTAAATGTAATTTAAATTTAAACGTCATGGATGGAGGTTTTATTACATCTTCTAATTAATTAAGTTTATTGCTACCAAATCAGCAATACATTCCACAGACAATTAAATTTTTAACAATACTACAATTACATATATCACATTACAATACAATACATTTTATTTCCTATCCTACCCCTCCCCATCTCCTCTCCGCATCTCCCTACGCTGCCTTGTCGCCACCACCTCCCTCATCCATTCTCTTCCCTCTGCCCCCTCCCCCAGCACCTGCTTCCAGCCGATCACTTCCTCTCTTAGCTCGTCACACTCCCTCAGTAGGTGCTCCNATACGTTTTACAATTATTTATTTATATATTTTTTTAATCATTTTATCCTTAATTTAATGATTTATTTATTTATATGTAATTAATTAATAACTATTAAACGTAAATCGCTGCTATTAACTATTTACATTTGAAAAACGATCTCACATTTTTAAAGACATCAAGAAAAAAAAAAAAACAACGCGTAGATAATAAAAACAGATAATAATAATGAAATGATTGCTACATCTAAAAAGCGGATAGAGAGATATAGACAAAGAGAAAAAATAAAATAATAGACAAGATAATTACGTGATGGAATCGGAAATTATTCACGTTGGCACTTATTAAAATAAATCTTTTCATTTTTTTTTTTAACAAAGCGAATATTTATTCGTAGCAATAATAATAATATATAATATTTATAATTATTTTTTTATTTATTTATATTTATATATATAGATCCTTTTTTTTTAATTTTTAGAGTAAATCTAAAACCGCTTTCTTTTTGTCGACTTTTGGGAGGGGGGCGGCCAATTCGCTAGTTTCCGGCCGATTCTTCGTTACAAATTAAAAACCTTTAAAAGATCATTGAATTACAATCACAACTTTTTCGTTAAATATTAATAAAACGACAAAAACTGCTTGCTTGCTATTTATTAATATAATATATGAGACTAGTTTCGGGCTAAATATCCATCTTCAGCCAAATCTATACGCACAACATAGAAGACATTATACAAAAACACTTACTGTCAAAAATGTCACTATAATAACAAAATTTTTATGTTTATCTTGATCGACTTTATAAATTAACACTTTAAAATCATCAGCGTTGAGTACTTGTCGAAAATTGAGGTTATGTTTTCTACATTTCGGAAATACTCAAAGTGGTGACTCGAAATTTACAGATTCAAATTATTTAAGTACAAAAATAAAGGTTTATATTGTATTTCTAACTGTTCGTTAAATAATTCGCCCTTATTATTAAATTTATGTTTATAAATTTCGAACATTTCAAGGAAATCAAGTTTCAGACCTTTATTACATCTATCTTATTACACCCTGTACAAGATACTCAGATACAGCAAATGACAGTTTATTTGATAGCATCTCAAGAGTAACCGTGCCAATTTAGAGCTTTTTTGAATGAACGTTGGGTGAAATTTGCCAAAAAATAACTTAAAATCAAAATAACTCGAAAACGAAAAACTCTAGGTACCAACAACTTTTATGAAAGTCAACATATTTTTTTATGTACAGGCTGGTTCAAATTCGATGTCCGAATAGGCTAACTCGGAAACTATAAGAGTTAGAAAAAAAGTAGCTTACATGTCATTATCTCGTTTTTCGAGAAACTGCTAATGCCAAAATTGAAAATCTCGTAAAAACAACAAGTTATTAAATTCGTTATTGTTTTCTGATTACAAATATAAGGGGTTACATAGGTCTATTTCTTATTGTTTTAGAATAAAGTCGAAAAAAAAATTAAATTTACAGTTTCCTGTAAATTATGGTACTATAATTAAAAATTATTCTACTAAAAATTTATATAAAATATACTTTATTTCCTAATATGTTACATTCTAACATGTTAAACTTTTCGTAATTTTCTTAATCCATCTTAAAAAACAGGATTTTTAATTTGACACTTCAGAAAATTTTTGAATACAAACAAATGTTGCTATGTTTNTCGACTTTTGGGAGGGGGGCGGCCAATTCGCTAGTTTCCGGCCGATTCTTCGTTACAAATTAAAAACCTTTAAAAGATCATTGAATTACAATCACAACTTTTTCGTTAAATATTAATAAAACGACAAAAACTGCTTGCTTGCTATTTATTAATATATGAGACTAGTTTCGGGCATCTTCAGCCAAATCTATACGCACAACATAGAAGACATTATACAAAAATCCAATTAATATGTCAAAAATGTCACTATAATAACAACATTTTTATGTTTATCTTGATCGATTTTATAAATTAACACTTTAAAATCATCAGCGTTGAGTACTTGTCGAAAATTGAGGTTGTGTTTTCTACATTTCGAAAATACTCAAAGTGGTGACTCGAAATTTACACATTCAAATTATTTAAGTACAAAAATAAAAGTTTATATTGTATTTCTAACTGTTCGTTAAATAATTCGCCCTTATTATTAAATTAGTATGAGTATCTTATTACACCTGTACAAGATACTCAGATACAACAAATGACAGTTTATTTGACAGCATCTCAAGAGTAATCGTGCCAATTTAGAGCTTTTTTGAATGAACGTTGGGTGAGATATGGGGTTTTAGAAAGCATGGTGAAATTTGCCAAAAAACACTTAAAATCAAAATAACTCGAAAACGAAAAACTCTTTCATAAACAACTTTTTTGAAAGTCAACATATTTTTTTATGTACAGGCTGGTTCAAATTCGATGTCTGAATAGGCTATCTCGGAAACTATAAGAGTTAGAAAAAAGTAGCTTACATGTCATGATCTCGTATTTCGAGAAACCGCTAATGCCAAAATTGAAAATCTCGTAAAACCAACAAGTGCAATTATCTTGATTATTATTATAGGTAGAGTATTATAACTAAGACATTATATAGACACTTTTTTTACAGAGAATTTGATGACGTAGACAAAAAAGATTTTTCGGTTTTAGATTTTGAGATATTACAATTTTGTTTTTTTTTTAAATGGAAACAACTTGTTAAATTCGTTATTTATTACAAATACATGGGGTTACATAGGTCTATTTCTTATTATTTTAGAATAAAGTCGAAAAAAAAATTAAATTTACAGTTTCCTGTAAATTATGGTACTATAACTAAAAATTATTCTACTACAAATTTATATAAAATATACTTTATTTCCTAATATGTAACATTCTAACATGTTAAACTTTTCGTAATCCATCTTAAAAAACAGGATTTTTAATTTGACACTTCAGAAAATTTTTGAATACAAACAAATGTTGCTATGTTTATTTGAATTAAACGAAAATATATGAGCGCCATCTATCAATAATTTATTAAGTCATTTAATAATATTATTAAATATTAATAAAAAATGTGAAATAATGCAATCTATTCCAACTTTTGTGTAAAACAAATATAAATTAAATAGTTCAACAAATGTATTTGTTTCAAATATCAGAAATATGTTTTCTTAATTTTTAGTTATAATTTACAGGAAACTGTAAATTTAATGTCTTTGACGACACCAAAAAAAAGGTTTATTTTTAGCTGTATTCTAAAACAATAAGAAATAGACCTATCTAACCCTATATTTTTGTAATCAGAAAAAATAACAAATTTAATAAGCGAATAATCAGTGGTTGTTTCCATTTAAAAAAACGAAAATTGTCATGATATCTCAAAATCTAAAACAAAAAATTTTTTTTGACTAAGTCATGAAATTCTCTGTAAAAAAGTGTCCATATAATGTGTTAGTTATAATACTCCACCTATAATAATAACCAAATTAATTGCACTTGCTGGTTTTACGATATTTTCAATTTTGGCCTCTAGGGGAAAAACAAAAGACGATAGCGCTTTGAGATTTTTGGCATTAGCAGTTTCTCAAAAAACGAGATCATGACATGTAAGCTACTTTTTTTTCTAACTATTATAGTTTCTGAGATAGCTCGATAGATAAGACAGCTAGTCAAATTTTCGTGATTTCAAAAAATGCTCATATTTCCTTTATTTTTGAAATTAGAGAAATGGGGTTGATACGTTCTTAAGACACTTTTTTAAGTAGAATATACTGCCGTTGAAAAATTTTAAAAATATTTGATGATTTTTGAGATACAACACAAAGTTGTATTTTTTTAAATACAAACTATAGTAGATTATGGTGTTACTGAAAAGAGCATATTTTTAGCTTTCCAATGATGTATTGCACGCATGGTGTATTTGGGGAAAATAAGCGTTATTTTTTAATTCTAAAATATTAAAGATTAATATTCAAAATTTTAATTATAGTAGGCGAGGAAAACGTTAAATACCACTTAGTTACTATAGTAACGTGAGTTTACTGATTATTTCATTCATGAATTTTTCGACACGAGTTT